AAAACCCATACAGGAAGCCAGGCGGCTTTGAGTGGGCATGGTTCTTTGAAGAACCCCTGGAGTCTTTCGACGGCTGCCGCGAGGCGGGAATGGAATCAGTCGTGCCCTGAGGCGCAGGGTGTGGTGAGGGTTCAATAACCCCAAACCCTAAACCCTACAGGGTTTAGGGTTTCGGGTTTAAGGTTTAGGGTTTAGGGTTTCTCGGTCCTTTCCAGACGGGGTGGTGGGTGTCCTTCCGTTTGAGATGCACTATAAGTGTAGGCTTTTGGAAACTCTCACCATAGCTTGGAAGTTTTTGGCTTATAGGGAAACCCTAAACCCTAAACCCTAAACCCTAAACCCTAAACCCTAAGCCCTAAACCCTAAACCCGGGTTCAGGGGTTCGATGTTCAGCTCCTAATCGGGAATGAAGGGATTCAGGTACTGTATGCACGAAAAATCAGAACCCTGGTCCAAGGTCTTCTGAACGCGGTAGGTACCCCGACTCTGTGCTGAGCAGTAAGTAGACCGCCCAACGTCTATACAGTAACCTGAAACCCCTTTTCTTGTAACTTTTAAACCCTAAACCCCAAAATGCCTAAACCCCTAAACCCCCCCAGTAGCCTAGGAGGCTCCGGCGCCTCTCCACAGAAGACTGGCTGAGACGAGCTTGCCGTAGAAAGCACATTCTACGACCATGATGTTACAGGCTGTATAACCCTGCCGTCGTAGCCTTAGTGTGAGTTCCAACCCTGAACCCTTAACAAGAAACCAGGTCGTGCTAGGAGTTGCGTGTTTTGGGTTGCTTCCGAACCCACAGTGGGCCTGGGAGCGGGGGTTGGCCTTAGGGTTAGGGTTTAGGGTTCAAGAATCCCATACTGGAGTAGAATCTTGCGCAAGGTCGCACCATGACGTCTGAACATGAAAGAGGGCATTCAGGTTATCTCAGGTGAAGTCTATACAAACCCTAAACCCTAAACCCTAAACCCTAAACCCTAAACCCTAAACCCTAAACCCTAACCCTATGCTACCCCCCCTGTTGTTTAGGGTTTAGGATTATGGGCGGTTTGCCTGTAATCCGAAACCTACAGACAAGCAAGACCAACTCAGGCCCTTAATTTAGGGTTTAGGGTTTAGGGTTTAGGGTTTAGGGTTTAGGGTTTAGGGTTTAGGGTTTAGGGTTTAGGGTTTAGGGTTTAGGGTTTAGGGTTTAGGGTTTAGGGTTTAGGGTTTAGGGTTTAGGGACCCCCCCCCCCCCCCTCCAAAAAAAGAAAAAAGCCGGCAATTGAGGACCCAAATACATCCTACCCGAGCGGCGTTTCTCCAATCTACCTCCTATCTTGAGGGGATTACACTGCCTACAGGGCTCTATAAAACCAGAAACCCTAAACCCTATAAGCTTTAATCTCTTGAGATTGTCGGCAGCAGGGTAGGGGCGTTGCTCTCAAGTCGGGGTCCCCATGAAGAGACCCTAAGCGCAACCCCAAAACCCAAAGGGTCAGGGGCACCAGGGCGCAGGGGTTTGGGGTTTAGGGTTTAGGGTTTGGGGTTTGGGTTTAGGGTTTAGGGTTTAGGGTTTAGGGTTTAGGGTTTAGGGTTTAGGGTTTAGGGTTTAGGGTTTAGGGTTTAGGGTTTAGGGTTTAGTGCTAAAGTCCGGCCTTCCTGTCAGACAGCAAGGGCGGATGGTGCACACTGTGCGGGGGCGCATGCCTCAGGCCACGACAGTCGGTGATAAGACAAAGCCCCCAGCGACCCTCCTCTGGTGTAGGGTTTGGGGTTTCGGGTTTAGGGTTTAGGGTTGAGGGTTTAGGGTGTAGGGTTTAGGGTTTAGGGTTTAGGGTTTAGGGTTTAGGGTTTAGGGTTTAGGGTTTAGGGTTTAGGGTTTAGGGTTTAGGGTTTAGGGTTTAGGGTTTAGGATTTAGGGCTTAATTAGGGGTTAATTAGGGGTTAGAGTGCATCCCTGAAAGAAGGTGGTTCCCAGGACTTTTGAAGCCCAAAGGCCATGAGACACTCAAGGGGCTCGACCTAGGACCCCCGAAGGTTGTACCCTTGGGTTTTGGGGGCTCTGTCACCCTAAACCCTAAACCCTAAACCCTAAACCCTAAACCCTAATCGAGGGCCCATGTTCGGAGCATCTTAGGGGCACCTGCGCAATAGGTGTGTGGCCGGGTAGGGGTCTCACACTCTAAAAAGCCCAGGGGGGTTTAGGGTTTAGGGTTTAGGGTTTAGGGTTTAGGGTTTAGGGTTTAGGGTTTAGGGCTAAGCCCGAAAGCAACGCGAAAGGACGCATAGAACAACCTCCAAAGCCTGAACCCCTCGGTCGCCCGGCCATGTGTGGGTACCCTCCCATCCCCAAAGCCAAAACCCCACATAAACCCCAAACTTTCAAAACCCTATGCAAAACCCTAAGCCCTCAACACCCAACTGCAAGACCACGAACCCTTAAACAAAAACCCTTCACCCAAAAGCAGGCCCTGCAAAACCCGAAACTCCCGAACCCCCCCCCCCCCCCAAAAAAAAAACCCTAAGCCCTGAGAAGCTCAAATTCCGTTGAGGGCTTCGGGGCTCTCGGTTTTGTTCTTTCTTTCTTATGGGGGCTTAGGGCTTCAGAGCTGGAGGGTTGAGGGTGTATATAGGCGTTCGATTGGTTTTAGGGTTTCGGGTTTGGGGTTTAGGGTTCAGAGCCTCTAAACCCTAAACCCTAAACCCTAAACCCTGAACCCTGAACCCTGAACCCTAAACCCTAAACCCTAAACCCTAAACCCTAAACCCTAAACTGCCATCTGGGTGCGGATGCATCGGTGGCGATCCGGCAGAGCTAAAAAGCGGCGAGTGGTTGGACACATGGGTGCCATGCCCTCCGGCCACACGGACGTCGTGCTCATAACCTGAGCTTCTTGTTCGGCGGTTTCGGGGTTTCGGGGTTTAGGTTTAGGGTTTAGGGTTTTGGGTTTAGGGTTTAGGGTTTAGGGTTTAGGGTTTAGGGTTTAGGGTTTAGGGTTTAGGGTTTAGGGTTTAGGGTTTAGGGTTTCGGGTTTCGGGTTTAGGGTTTAGGGTTTAGGGTGATAGAACCCTACTTACACTCCAAACCCAAAACTCCCCTAAGGATGGCTCAGAAGAACCTGGGAATAGGGAGGGTGTCCGCTGGGTCCTAGAAGCTTGGGGCCTAGAGGTTTAGGGTTTAGGGTTTAGGGTTTAGGGTTTGTTTAGGGTTTAGGGTTTAGAATTTAGGGTTTAGGGTTTAGGGTTTAGGGACCTGCATATTTGTTAGCTTTTCAAGTTGGCGGGTTGGGAGGCATGCAGGCTGTAGAAGTGATTTCAGGGTGCCGGGAAATGCTGAAGCCGCCTGTAGGCACTTTAGACTCTAAACCCTAAACCCTAAGACCCTAAACCCCAGTATCCTCAAACTCTTGCGAGTGGCACTCGCCCAGCCTTCGGTGCAGGTCCCAGAAAATCTCATGCTTGCTAAAGACTGTCCTTGGCCGGGCTTTAGGGTTTAGGGGTTTGGGGTTTGGGGTTTAGGGTTTAGGGTTGGTAGGGTCGGTAGGGTTTGGGCTTGGCATCTGACTTCCCGGCTTTCTGCTCTCCTTGCGAGGATTGCTCGTAAAACGCCCTGAACAGGTTCCGAAGTACAACTCCCCTGAAGCCTCACCAGGCAAAATGCAAGATATGCCAAGGTCTTTCTACCCTAAACCCTAAACCCTAAACCCTAAACCCTAAACCCTAACCCTAAACCCTAAACAGCCTACGTACCTAGCATCTATGGTCGAACCTAACCCCCCCCCCCCCCCCCCAATCCGCGCGTGGGCCCAAGGCTCCATTCCACCGCCACCCCGTCCTCGAGATCGCCCCGCTTCTTGGGCCCCGCTGGCATCTCGGGCCCTTCTTGAGCCTTTAAAGCTACGAGGATGGCTGGGGTTTAGGGTTTAGGGTTTAGGGTTTAGGGTTTAGGGTATAGGGTATAGGGTATAGGGTTTAGGGTGTAGGGAGGCTTGCGGATAGTAACGGACTCGGGTTTAGGGTTTGGGGGCTGGGGTTTAGGGGTTAGGGTAACCCTGAACCCTAAGCCGGAAACCTCAGAACCAAATATCCTGGAAGTTGGTAGGTTTTACGTCTTGAAAAGAAAGAGTGGGCAGATCAGTACCATCGCAATACATTCCGTTCCCTTCAAGCTTCCCGTCTTATCAGAAACCTGGCCCCTAGCCCCTAAAACTAAAGGAAACATGACATTACGAAGCCCTGAACCCCTAACACCGACAACTTGTAGTCATTTGGGGATGTCAGGTACTTGATAGCCCAGTAAGCATGTAACAACAAGGGTAGTCTTTCTTGGGGTTGGTTCCTGTACAAAAGAACCTAGAACCAAACAAGGGCAAAAGGGTGGGACCGGTCACCAAGGGTATGGACATGGACTGCTAGGGCACAAGCATTTCGCGGAGGGAAACCACACAGCCCTGGACATAAACCCCCGCAAGGGCAAGACCAAAACAGTGCAAAGGGAAAACCTTCGTGGGTCGTCCCTAAACCCTAAACCCTAAACCGTGAACCCTAAACCCTAAACCCTAAACCCTGCTGGTGAGATGTCGACGAGGCGAAGCCCGCCAGAATGCGCCCGCATGCTCCCTAAGCCCTAAGCCCTAAACCCGAGAACCCCAAAGCTTCCCCCAGGAGCCAAAAAGTTTGAGAACTTAGGGTTTAGGGTTTAGGGCTTGGGGTTTGGGGGTTTGGGGGTTTGGAGTTTGGGGTTTCGGGTTTGGGACTTGGGGCTTCCTAAGCCCTAAGCCTTCTGAGATTCTTAGGCGATCTACCAAGGCCTATGAGGTCCCTCAACCCTCAACCCACACTTCCTAGACCTTGGCCTGAAGAACCGAAATAAGAAGCCCTAAACCTACTGTTGTTCAGCGAGGGCTCCGGGAGTTTGAGGGCTAACCCTAAACCCTAAACCCTAAACCCTAAACCCTAAACCCTAAACCCTAAACCCTAAACCCTAAACCCTACAAATCCCCAACAGCGCCACCAGCCTCGACTTGCAGCTGGTGCAGGTAGAGCTCTGCCACGGCTTCTAGAGCCTGACCCCCGTGCGCGAAGTTGGCGGTTTCTCTGTGGGGCTTCTAAGCTCTCAAGCTCAAAAACTCTAAACCCTAAACCCTAAACCCTAAGCCCTAAACCCTAAACCTTATAAACCCTCTCTTACTATGTATATTTAAACCCTAATGACCTTCGTCGGCATTTTTTTTTCGGGGCCCTAGGGTTTAGGGCCCAGAGTTTTTTTTCAAGGTTTTTCAGAGTTTTTCAGTGTTTTTTAAGGTTTCTCAAGGTTTTTCAGGGTGTCTCAGGGTTTTTAACCCTCAGAGGGTTTAGGGCTGTAGGGTTTGGGGCATAGGGTTTAGGGCCCAAAGTTTTTGTCAAGGTTTTTCAGAGTTTTTCAGTGTTTTTCAAGGCTTTTCAATGTTTTTCAGGGTGTTTCAGGGTTTTTAACCCTCAATTCTGATGAAGGGCCGCCCCCGCGACCTTTTCACAGCCTAGTTTTGGTCAAGGGGGGGGTCGTATTTTTCAATTTTAAAGGCAAAATAGTCTTCGGAGACCCCCCTTGCCTCAAACTCCGACCCCCCCTTGAGAGGGAAAGTTTGCTTCCAAAAACACCCCAAATGAGGGGGACCCCAGGATCGGCCCGGGCCACAGTTAAAAATGCGATTTTTTAGTACTGAAATCGACGGTTCTGGGTGACCTCTTGTTTCTGGATTTTTGACCAAACCGAGCCTTTACCGGTTTCAGAATTTCAAGTTTTTCAAGTTTTTCAAGGTTTTTCAAGGTTTTTCAGAATTTTTCGATGTTTTTCGAGGTTTTTAATGTTTTTCAGGGTGTTTCAGGATTTGTTTTCAGGTTTAGGGCTGTAGGGTTTGGGGCATAGGGTTTAGGGCTGTAGGGTTTGGGGCATAGGGTTTAGGGTTGTAGGGTTTGGGGCATAGTGTTTAGAGCTGTAGGGTTTGGGGCATAGGGTTTAGGGCTGTAGGGTTTGGGGCATAGGGTTTAGAGCTGTAGGGTTTGGGGCATGGGGCATAGGGTTGTATGGTTTGGGGCATAGGGTTTAGGGCTCTTAGGGTTTGGGGCATAGGGATTAGGGCCCAGAATTTTTTTCAAGGTTTTTCAGAGTTTTTCAGTGTTTTTCAAGGCTTTTCAATGTTTTTCAGGGTGTTTCAGGGTTTTTAACTTTCAATTCTGATGAAGGGCCGCCCCCGCGACCTTTTCACAGCCTAGTTTTGGTCAAGGGGGGGTCGTGTTTTTCAATTTTAAAGGCAAAATAGTCTTCGGAGACCCCCCGTGCCTCAAACTCCGACCCCCCCTTGAGAGGGAAAGTTTGCTTCCAAAAACACCCCAAATGAGGGGGACCCCAGGATCGGCCCGGGCCACAGTTAAAAATGCGATTTTTTAGTACTGAAATCGACGGTTCTGTGTGGCCTCTTGTTTCTGGATTTTTGACCAAACCGAGCCTTTACCGGTTTCAGAATTTCAAGTTTTTCAAGGTTTTTCAAGGTTTTTCAAGGTTTTTCAGAATTTTTCAATGTTTTTCTAGGTTTTTTAATGTTTTTCCGGGTGTTTCAGGGTTTAGGGCTGTAGGGTTTGGGGCATAGGGTTTAGGGCTGTAGGGTTTGGGGCATAGTGTTTAGAGCTGTAGGGTTTGGGGCATAGGGTTTATGGCTGTAGGGTTTGGGGCATAGGGTTTGGGGCATGGGGCATAGGGTTTAGGGTTGTATGGTTCGGGGCATAGGGTTTAGGGCTCTTAGGGTTTGGGGCATAGGGTTTAGGGCCCAGAGTTTTTTTTCAAGGTTTTTCAGAGTTTGTCAGTGTTTTTCAAGGTTTTTGAATGTTTTTCAGGGTGTTTCAGGGTTTTTAACCTTCAGTTCTGATGAAGGGCCGCCCCCGCGACCTTTTCACAGCCTAGTTTTGGTCAAGGGGGGGTCGTATTTTTCAATTTTAAAGGCAAAATAGTCTTCGGAGACCCCCCCCTGCCTCAAACTCCGACCCCCCCCTTTGAGAGGGAAAGTTTGCCTCCAAAAACACCCCAAATGAGGGGGACCCCAGGATCGGCCCGGGTCCCAGTTCAAAATGCGATTTTTTAGTACTGAAATCGACGGTTCTGGGTGGCCTCTCGTTTTCTGGATTTTTGACCAAAACCGAGCCTTCACCGGTTTCAAGATTTCAAAGGTTCGTCAAGGTTTTTCAGATGTTCCCCCTTGAGAGGGAAAGTTTGCCTCCAAAACCACCCCAAATGAGGGGCCACCCCCCCCCACCCCACCCTCCCCGGTTTGAGAATTAGATTTTGGGTTTTCGGCCAATTGGACCTTTAAGCCTACTGGGAATGTATTGAGTGGACTTTGTATTTTCTCAATGTTATGGGTTTCTTGGGTGGGTGGGGTTTTATTCCAGCCCTTGACAAGCTGCTTGACTAGTGAATGCTCGGACTTGAGATGCTGAACCCTAAACCCTAAACCCTAAACCCACCTCTCCAATCCTTAGTTTGGGGTTGGGGCTGCATGCCCTGTAGGATTTAGGGTTTATCGGTGTAGGGACGTGGGCCTTTCCGGTCTTTAGGGCTCCGGTTTAGGGTTTAGGGTTTAGGGTTTAGGGTTTAGGGTTTAGGGTTTAGGGTTTAGGGTTTAGGGTTTAGGGTTTAGGGTTTAGGGCGATTCAGGGTATCGGGTTTCGGGTCTCGAGCCCTAACCCGCCTTCGCTTGCCCCGTGGCGGCAAACTGCTCAGCCTTGTGGTGCGCCAGGTAGCCTTGGGTTTAGGGTTTAGGGTTTAGGGTTTAGGGTTTAGGGTTTAGGGTTTAGGGTTTAGGGTTTAGGGTTTAGGGTTTAGGGTTTAGGGTTTAGGGTTTAGGGTTTAGGGTTTAGGGTTTAGGGTTTGGGGTTTGGGGTTTAGGTTTTTTTTACAACCCCAATGACCTCTTTTAGATGTCTAGCGCTTGCTTGGGGGTTCTTGTTGCCCAGTCGGTAGGCTTACACTGAGGTGTTCCTGCAGATGATGGAGGCCTCGTGCTTATCGGTCCCAACTTCGTTCAGTGCAGTGCTCGGATGTAAAAGACGACTTACGGACTGGGGAGGACTCAGCATCGCATGACCATGACCATGTGCTTCCTGCAGCATTCACCTCCATGAAGGTTCAACCGCTGCACGGCTTGCCCAACGATCACGGCACATCTTGAATGCTCATCTGTCTGCCCGACGCCCAATTGCTGTCCTTAGCATTGACCCACTTGCTTTCGAGCCCTGCCCACAGCACCCGGTCACGCGCCACATCTTGCCACCTTTCTCCCTCCCCACACGCAACCCCCGTGATTTCCCTGCCCCCCCCCCCCCCCCCCATGAGTCTGGCGGTTTTAGTTTAGGGTTAGGGGTTTAGGGCTTAGGGCTAAGGGCTGCTGTAGGGCTTCGGGCCTAATGAGGGCTCAGGGTTGAGAGGACGAGGCCGAGAAAAGGAGGGGTGTGCCTGGGACAACCCGAAACCCTAAACCCTAAACCCTTAACCCGAATGGTGTCTAAAGCATCTCTTTGTAAGGCAGGCTACATTGTCCCTTAACATAGGCCCTGAAAAGGGGACCCCTCATTTACCTATACAAATTGAAGGGTCCATAGGCTATCCATAGGTGTCTGAATTATGAACCCTAAACCCTAAACCCTGAATCTTGAATCTTGAAAGTTAAGCCTTGATCCCCGGATGGTAGCCTCAGGCCCAGGCGATCAAAGAAGTGAGCCTGAGCGGCCAAGGCGAGGCAACCCGTAAGATTTCACGGCTCAAGGGCGTTAGGGTTTAGGGTATAGGGTTGAGTTTGCATGTGGGTTACCGTGTTGAAGGGTTCTTCGAGAAGCTCTCAGCCCTCGTCGGGCTTTGGGTCTAGGGTCTCGGGCTTAGGGAGTACTTGGCTACCTAACTATAAGCTCCCCACATCCGAGAGGTGGGTGAAGCGGGGGGGCCGAGAAGCAGCTGCATTTCTTGAGGAGAGTAGGGTTTAGGCTTTGGGGCATTTATGGTCTTAGGGCCTGAACCCTAAACTCCCCAACCGTAAGCTCGGCACTCCCAAGACAGGGAGGCACTACTCTGCTTCGGGGGCACAAGTTCTACCTCTGATGCTGGTTCCGAGATACCTCGGAGAATAAGTGCAAATCTTGTTTAGCAAAGGTTGACCCTAGCGCCAGCAACAGAATACGGGTACTGTCGGGCGTCCTAGATGTTTTGGTGATTGGTGGAGTGGATCTTAGCAGGCGTAGTCCACTACTTCAGGGTTGTAGGCACGCAAACTCCTAAACCCAAAGCCCAAAATCCTGAGCCTCTAAACCCCAACCCCAAAACCCTAAACCCTCAACCCTGAACCCTAAACCTTGTGGCCCGAAGCTGACAACCTAATTCAGGGGCCCAAGACACCACATAAACATAAGGATCCTACGAGCAGGGTGTTCCTAAGGGTTTAGGGTTTAGGGGGAATCTGCCCTTTGTTGGGGCCCTTATACCTAGACCCGAGAGTAGCCTAGGAACAAAAAGGTGCACTTTTGGGTTTACTGGGGATTCTACGGGAACCTAAACCCTGAAAAAGGAAATGTGGGCCCTACTCTGGGTCCTAGATACCCCGACAGCAGGATCCAGATGATTTTGAGCCCTAAACCCTAAACCCTAAACCCTAAACCCTGAGCCCCAAATATTCCGGAAAAAGAACGACGACCCTCCATTGTGCAGCCCCGGTGCGTAGCGGAGGAGGTCGCTTTTGGCGGCAGCCTTTAGGGCTGGGGGCTTTAGGATGCTATAGGGTTTAGGGTTTAGGGGTTTAGGGGTTTAGGGTTTAGGGCTAGGGCTTAGGGCTTGAAGGTTAAGGATTTGAGGGTTTGAGGGTTTGCGGGTGTGAGGGGTGATTCAACGCCAATTAGCCTTTGCTTAAGCATCCGTCGCGGATGCACGGAGCACGCACGAAGCAATCCACAAAGATATCTTTGCGCTGGAGATTTCGCACGGTTTAGGATGTTTGAAATGGTCGTGGACCTGTGGAGCCCGTGCCAGAAGGCTGTTGAAGAACTTTGGCCGGAGCGCAGCTGACGCGATGAGACGGCGCAGGGGCGTCCTTCCTGCAAGGACATGCTTGAGATTCCTGCCTTCAATGATCATGAAGTGAGTCTCGGTCTGTGAGTCCGGGACTCAGACTGCTCACAGTCTCGCGAAAGCACTTTTCGCATTTCAAGTTGGAGCCGGAGCTGCCGGAAGTCGCCGATGACGCGGAAGCAGGGAAGGGTTTAGGGTTGTTCGCTGGGGAGTGCTTTTCAAGCGTTGAATTAAGGCCCAGGGGCTCGTGACGTCACTATTTCACCCGGGCCACCTCGCTCAAATAAGGCTTATTTCATGGGAGCACCGCGCCACTTCGGCGTTGACCTCGCTGACCTCGCAATAAATTTACCCAGCTAAAGGAAACGACGGCTCTTGTCATGATTTCGGGTACCCTTACTTTAGGGGAATCGGGCTCTTTCAATGGACCCATGACATACACTGAATGCGAACCGTTGGAACCGCCGAACCGAACCGGACTGGAACCGAACCGAGCATAATTAAGGTTCGGTTCTCCCAAACCGAACCGAACCGAACCGTGGCAACCCTGATTTTAGGGCTTAGGGTTCGAGGATTTGGATTTTAGGGCTTAGGAAAGGAGGGTTTAGGATAGACCCTTGGGTTTCACTCTGAAGAAGTGCAGGGCTTGGGGGCTTAGGGCTTAAGGCTTAGCGTTTGGGGTTTAGGGTTTAGGGTGCCCCGTTTAAGTTTCGGGCCTGGTACACTGACCGCGGGAGCACGCAATCCCAGGGAGGAGGGGGGGGGGTTCCGCAAGAGGGCAGCTGTTTTCAGCCCTCCCTGTCTAAACCCCGACCTAAGCCCCTGAACGCCAAACACCAAACCCCGAACCAAACCCAAAACTCCAAAACACCCTACGTGCAACAAGGGTTTGTGGTGTCAGGCGCGCCTTCTTCTGCGTCTCCAGCTGGTCTTCCGATATCCTGGGGGACGCGGGGGAAAGCAGGAGGTGCGGGTTAGGTCTTCGGGGTTTGAGGGCTTAGGGTCCAGGGTTTTGGCTCCCTAAACCCTAAACCCTAAGCCCTAATCCCTAAGCCCTAAGCCCTAAGCCCTAAACGCTAAAACCCTAAACCCTAAACCCTAAGCCATAAACCCTAAACCCAACGCTAAAGCGCACCCTGAGCCGCGAACCCTGACTTTCGCGTCTCGACAGCCGAGGCGCGCGTTGCACTGGGTGTGATCTTTCCAGGGCTTCATGCAAATCCAGCCTCCAGGTTCTAGTTTGGGGTTTAGGGTTTAGGGTTTAGGGTTTGGGGTTTCGGGTTTAGGGTATAGGGTTTAGGGTTTGGGGTTAAGGGCTTCGCCCTGAACCCAGGCATATAGGGGCCTTCTTTTTGGAATAACTAGAATATGGTGTTGGGGGGGGGGAACATTATAGCATAATTAATTATAAAGGGACTTTGAGGACATAGTATTTGTACTTATTCCGACCCGACAATTTGTAGGGTTTAGGACCAACCCAGACGTATGCCCGAAAGCAGCAAAGTGAAGTGGAGGTTTGTTCGGGTCCCCATCTTTCACCATTCTTACCTAGAAGGCTAAATTGGATCAAACAGTGGACCAGGTGGGGGGTCGTTCTAGACTTGGGTCCCTGCGTTTTCGGGGCAGGGAGGTCCTGTAAGGAAGCCCTAAACCCTAAACCCTAAGCTCTTAAACCCTCAGCTCTAAGCCCTAAACTCCAGACCGTAAACCCCAAACCCTGAGCCCTGAACCCTAAACCCTAAACCCTTAAGAGCCATCCCAGTCGCAGAACTCGTGGCCGCACCCGCCAGGTTTTCGGCAGGTCATGTGCATGCAGCCGCCGTTCTTTTCCTGATGGGTCTAGGGTCCAGGAGGTGGGTGTTAGGGTTTTAAGGTTAGGGGTTTAGGGTTTAGGGTGCAGGGTTTAGGGTTTAGGGTTTAGAGTTTATATAGGGGTGTAGGGGTGTAAGGGTGTAGGGGTGTAGGGGTGCAGGGGTGTAGGGGTGTATAGGGGTGTAGGGGTGTAGGGTTTTACGACAAAAATCCCGAATGCCGATCGCAGGGGTTTCGGGGTTGAGGGTCACAAAGATGCCTCCCGTCCCAGTGTTTAAGGAATATAGTAGGGAGGTATATACCTCATGTAGTCCCTATATACATAAGTAGCCCTAACCCTAAACCCTAAACCCTAAACCCTAAACCCTAAACCCTAAACCCTTAAGGTTCCTCATAAGGTTTCATCCTCTAGTTCCTTGACGTGTCCTCATTCTCAGTACTTTCCAGGAGCAGGGATACTACTATTGCTGATGACGCTGACTTAACTGGGGGTTTGGGGTTTAGAGCAATAAGCCCTAAGCCCCAATCCCCAAAACCCCTGAACCCTAAACCCTAGACCCCAAACCCTAAACCCTAAACCCTAAACCCGGCTGAGTCACAATGGAGTTGTTGCACTTTGGACAAAGCTTGGTATTCACCTTGATCCAGAGCACGTCGGAGCCTGCGACGCTGGGGCCATGACCGCACCCTAAACCCTGAAACCTCAACCCTAAACCTCTAAACCTCTAAACCTTAAACCATAAACCGTAAACCCTAAACTCGAAACCCTAAATCCCTAAATCCTAAACCCTAACCCCTAAGCCCCCCCGGAAGCCTGTAGGCGCCGAGGGATTTAGGGGTTTAGGGTTTTGAGTGGGGTTGGTTGAGGGGCTTGAGGTTCAGGGGTTTCCTTGGACACTTCGACATTGGCCCTAAAATCTAAACCCTAGACCCTACACTCTAAACCCGAAACCCTAAACCCCAAACCCCAAACCCTAAACCCTAAACCCCAAACCCTAAACCCTAAACCCCAAACCCTTTATTTTGGGCCATGTTGGGCTCGTATTGAGGGCTCGCCATAGGCAAGCAGCTGGGATCCCTAAGAAAACCTTCGGCGCCGGGCAGAAGCCGCTCAAGCACCTAGACTTTAGGGTTTAGGGTTTAGGGTTTCGGGTTTAGGGTTTAGGGTTTAGGGTTTAGGGTTTAGATTTAGGGTGAGCCCTGAACCCTGAACCCAAACCTACACTCAACACCCTGCAGGGTTCAGGGTTAGTATTGGGTGCAGGGTCTAGGGTCTAGGGTCTCCGGCTCAAGACCCTGAACGCCCGAAACGCAAACAAACGCTCAACGCAGATGCCGGGGCCCTCGTTGCGATTCTTCGCTTCCCACAGCTTCACCGTCTCGCACTGTACCTGAGGGTCGAGGGGCAATGGTTGAGGTGCACATAAGTTAACTATACAGCCCTCAAGCCCCAAAAACGGCTTCTGAGACTTCTGAGGGCTTTGGCGTGCAGGAGCATGCCACTTGGGGGTCAGGGGTGCTAGCAAAAGGACAAAAGGGTCAAAAAACATAGGGACCTCAACCCCTAGACCCCAAGCGCAGGGATGTGGTTTTTTCAGGCCCCCTTTGACAGATTACGGGGTGAGGCTTTAGGTTTTAGGGTTGGGGGAGGGACAAATGAGAGCTTGGGGTTTGAGTTTGGTGTATGCCAGACTCACATTCGCACCTGCTACGCTTTTCAGCTTCTTTGTCGGGTTCTGCTTTCGCTCGTTTTGGTGCGTTTTTTGCGTGGCAGGCAGAGTGCTCGAATGGGGTTTGCCCTAAAGTTCCCTAAGGTACCTAGCCCCCATGAACCTCCCTCCCTTAAGAACCCCGATAATTGCAGCTTCAGGGGTTCGACCTCCAAAATAACACCGCAAGATGTGCTTAGGGTTTAGGGTTTAGGGTTTAGGGCTTAGGGAATGGCTGTTATGAACCCACGTCTCTGTGCGTCCCAAGAAGAATTTAGAGGCCCTGAACCCTAAAACCCGAGTGAAAGCCGGATGAAGCCCAAAGCGCAGAACCCTGAGACCCTAAAGGCCTAAAGCCCTAAAGTCCAAAAGGTAAGCCCTAAAGTTCTCAACCTCTAGAACCCTAAAGCCCTGAAACCCCCAAACGTCCTAAAGCCCTAAAGCCCTTAGAACTTTAAAGTCCGAAAAGGCACTCCAAAGCCCTAGAGGCCTTTGGGGCTACACCCCAAAGTCCTAAAAAGCGCAACACCCTGAAAACCCCAGAGTCCTAAGCCCCCAAAGCCCCAAACCAAACGTCCGAAACCTGCCGGTTCTCGGGGAGTGAGGGATTTAGGTACTATCCCCCATGTACATACCCTTTACGGGATTAAAAGGGGGATATCAGGTGTCTACTTCCCTCTTCCCTACAAAGAACCAGCAGGTAAGGTCCACAGACCGTCCTAAACTAGGTCCGCCTTGAAACCTGAAAACATATTCCTATACATGAGCCTCTTAAACCCAAAGAAGGGAACAAATGAAATATCCGAAGGGCCTACCCAGTAAACCCTAAGCACTAAACCCTAGCCCTAAACCCTAAACCCCCTAAACCCCCCTAAACCCCCCTAAACCCCCCTAAACCCCCCTTAGCCATCCAGGCCACAGGTTTGTGGACGTCGTTGCCGCAGGCGAAGCACCACACTAGACCGCAAGGGCACTGCACCTGTCTTGGGCCCCCCAAAACCCAAATCTGTTTAGGGTTTAGGGTTTAGGGTATAGGGTTTAGGGTTTAGGGTTTAGGGTTTAGGGTTAGGGGGGGTAGGGTCTTTCGGGATTATAGGGTGTAGGGTTTAGGGTTATGTTTAAGGGCATGTTAACTATAGGTTTGTGGGCCCCTAATCGAGTTTGGGGGTTTAGGGTTGTAGGCTATATAGGGTTTAGGCTGCTAGAGTTAAGAGTCTACAAGGGGTGTTTAGAGCGCGCTCAGGACTTTGAGAAGTTTGGGGTGCGGGTTTTGGGGGGGGGGGGGGGGGGTTGGGGGTAGAGTGTTCTTCAGGGAGGGGCTAGGGAACCTCAAGGAAGCTTAGGGAGTAGTAGGGAGTGTTAGGGAACCCTGGGATACATGCGCCCCTTGAAACCCCCCACTCCCTTAAGAACCCTACAAGTTTAGGGTGGGACACTGACTACAGCAAACTACAGGTTCGAGCTCGTGAAAGAAGGCTTGTATCGACATGTCAGGGTTTAGGGTTTAGGGTTTGGGGTTTAGGGTTTGGGGTTTAGAGTTTGGGGTTTAGAGTTGGGGTTTCGGGTTCTAGCTATAAGAAGCCAACGCCTGCTATTGAGGGCGTCGGACAGGGAGTGCTGCTGCATGCTATCACAGAAAAGTTAAAGGCCCGAACAAACCAATAAAGACCTTAAAAGCTCTGAACAAAGCCTGACACAAAAACCCTTTGAAAACCTACAAAAGACCTAACAAATCAACAAGCCTACAAAAACCTAACAAACCTTAAACGAAACCGAATAACAAAGAACACACAAACACAAATCTTTAACAAACCCTTAAACAAATCCTCAAACGCCCTTAAAAACCCCACCGGTCCCCTGCTCGGTCGCCTCACCGGTGCCCGGATCCGACGCAGCGCGCTGGCAACCTCCGTTCGCTTAGGGTTTAGGGTTTAGGGCTTAGGGTTTAGGGTTTTAGGGTTTTCGGGTTTTCGGGTTTAGGGTTTTAGGCATAGTCCGGCTCCAGCTTCTTAGGCTTTAGGGGCTTAGGGGTTTAGGGTGTGGGGTTTCGGGATTCAGGGGCTCAGGGTTTAGGGTTTAGGGTTATAGGGTTAGGGTTTAGGGTTCAGCGTTCAGGGTTCAGGGTTCAGGGTTTAGGGTTTAGGGTTTAGGGTTTGGGGTTTATAGGGTTTAGGGTATAGGCTTTGGGGGTTCATAGGGGGTTTATGGGTGGTTGCAGATGAACCTAAACCCTAAACCCTGAACCCCCAAACCCTAAACCCTAAACCCTAAACCCTAAACCCTAAACCCCAAACCCCTGAACCCTAAACCCTAAACCCCAAACCCCTAAACCCTAAACCCCAAACCCCTGAACCCTAAACCCTGAAACCGCAAACTGTAAAGCAAGGTTCAAATTTGGGTGGTACTGCCCATTTTCGAACATTGAGCGCTGCGTTAGGCTCGTCTGTGTGCAGCTCTGTGGGTTATGCAGTTTTGCCGAAAACGCTTTGGAGGCTTAGCAACGCAATCAGCGCCGCATCTGCACTGCTTTTGGGGCCGTGGCTCGCTTGCAGACCGTTGGCGTGGTCGAAGCGGTTCCACGTGGCTGAGCCAACCCACTTGTCCAGGCAAGCCCAAATATGCGTGGCGTGCAGTGCTGGCCAGAACTGCGGCTTTTCAGTATACTCCGCACAAGGCTGCGCCATGAGTCTTTGGAAGCGGTCCTGGCGATGCCACTTTGTTGAAGAGAGCTTGCAAACGGTGCAAGTGATGGAAGAATTGCTCTTGCATCCCCCAGAGCGGCAGCTGTCGCTGCTAAGCCCTAAACTAAACCCTACACCCCTGAGCCCCACAAGCCTAAGCCGGAGCCCGGCTAACCCTAAACTCTAAACCCTGAACCCTCTCTTTCTTATACACATAAATTGTGAACTCTTAGTCGGCATAGGCACAACGGTTAAGCACAACGCTTCGTCGTCATAGGCACGCAGGGAAGTCCAGGGCGTCTTGAGAAGGAGGGGGGGGGGGGGGGGGGGGGGGGGTTCAGGGTCGGTTTAGGGCTTAGGGTTTAGGGTTTAGGGTTTAGGGTTTAGGGTTTAGGGTTTAGGGTTTCGATCAGGCTCAGGCCTGGGATGCCCAATAAGGAGCCTAAGCCAGTCGGGTAAAGTGAGAGAGCTTGAGGCGGGCGCTTAAAGGCGTGCGGTGTAGCGCCCCCGGGCATGGAGTCTGAGTCTAAGGCTTATGGGTTGACTGAACTTCATATCTTCTTCATGTTATGGGATTTCTTTGGGTGGGTGGGTATTTTCCTGTCGCTTGAAAAGCTTGCTAGACTAGTGAAAGCTCGAACATGAGATGCTGAACCCCAAGCCCTAAACCCTTAACCCTAAACCCTAAACCCCAAGGCCTAAACCTAAACCCTAAACCCCAAACCCTAAACCCTAACCCTAAACCCTCAACCCTAAACCCTAAACCCTAGACCCTAGACCCTAGATCCTGGCCTGCTCCGGGACACCACTTGACGCGCCCTTGGGAGTCCTGGGATTGATGTCTTAGTTGGTGGCCATTAGCAAGACGTCGTTGGGGGTTTCGGGTTTAGGGTTTAGCTAACGCGGGTTTTTGTGGTTTCTTTGGGGTTTAGGGTTTCGGGTTTAGGGTTTCGGGTTTAGGGTTTAGGGTTCAGGGTTCAGGGTCTCTGCAGGTGTTAAGGCTTGTCGTTGGTCCTTGGGTTGGTTCGCGGCTGCAGGCTTATAGGGTTCCTGCGTATAGCCTGAAGCCAGACCCCAAGCCGCGACTCCTACAGAAAAGACCAAGTAGAAGCTCCAATAGAAAAAACACAGACCCCTAAACCCTAAACCCTAAACCCTAAACCCTAAACCCTATGCCAATCCCAAGACCATATACATGGCAGAGGAGAACCCTTTCGCCCCTCCTGAGCCCACATTCGGCAACCCTGCGGCCAAAAGGCACGAAGAGCACAAGAAAGAACCGCGTCATAGGGGGTTGGGTTTTAGGGTTTAGGCTCAGAGGAACGATGGCTGCTGCCTGACTTTTCGAGGATTCTAGGATGAAGACGGCGTCCATCGCTTCAATCTTCCGGAATGCTTTGACGTTGCAGTTCCCGGTGCTTTGAGGTGTTTTTCTCTAGCATGGTTCATGCCTTCGGTGCTACAAAGTTAGTGCTACTCGTTTCTTGCCCCTTACACGTCAAGCTTGGACATGTGTCACAGCATTGTAAACATCTTCTGCAACAGATGGCTCAGCAAGCGCCTGCTGTAGCCCTAAACCCTAAACCCTAAACCCTAAACTCCCTAAACCCAAAACCCAAAACCCTAAACCCTAAACCAATGAAAACACGGCTGCTTCTTAACTTGCACCGACCTCCTGGAGAAAAGAAAGGTACCCGAAAGGCCGAGAAGCCATGAGCCCTACAAAATCCTACAGCCCCAAACCCCAAACCCCAAACCCTAAACCCGAAACACTTAACCCTAAACCCTAAACCCCAGAAAGTGGATCTTGATAATGGGATCCGAATGATGTGCTAGGTTTCCAAGCAAGGGCAATGATTGAAGAGGGTGCCCTTTAAAACCCGAAGAAGAGGGTTTAGGGTTTAGGGTTTAGGGTTCAATCTCATGAATCCTCATAGGACCCTACCGTAAGGCCCAAGTCGCGTCCACGAGGCTCTCTGTCAAGAACCGGCGGAAGCGGCGCATTGATGATGCCTCCTAGAGGTGGCTTTGTTTCGATGTTTATTAAAAGCATAGCCCTAAACCCTAAACCCTAAACCTAAACCCTAAACCCTAAACCCTAAACCCTAAACCCTAAACCCTAAACCCAAAGCGGGCTTCAGGGCTTCTAGAGCCTTGGGGTTTCAGTACTTCCTTCGAGTTCTTGAAAAGGGATTCAGGGCTTTAGGGCTTATAAGCCTTAGGCAGCCGAGAGGTTTAGGATTTAGGGTTTAGGCTTAGGGTTTAGGGTTTAGGGTTCAGGGTTCAGGGTTTAGGGTTTAGGGTTTAGGGTTTAGGATTTAGGGTTTAGGATTTAGGGTTTAGGCTTAGGGCTTAGGGTTTAGGCTTTAGGGTTTACCCTCAACCCTCAACCCTCAAGCCTAAACTCGGCCTGTTGCAGAAGCAGACTGGAACAACCTCCTCCCTAGCAGGCCTAAAGTAAACACTGTCAGATCCCTTGTCCCTGAAAGTTTAAGGCCTGCACTCGTTTGGAAGCTTCCCTAAGCTCCTCAAGTCACACAAGCCCCTCGGAATCCTGAACCCTCAACTCAACCCGAAAACCCGGAACCGACCTATGCTGTTCGCAAAGCTCGAAGCCCTGGAATTTCGGAGCTTCTTGGGTGCAGGTCGCCACCAAGGAACGAGGAGTTGCGAGAAGTGGCGCGGTCGAAGGAGTTCCTGTCGGATGTTTAGGGTATGGCTAAGGGTTTAGGGGTTAGGGTTTCGAGTTTAGGGTTTCAGGGTTCAGGGTTCAGGGTTCAGGGTTCAGGGTTTAGGGTTTAGGGTTTAGGGTTTAGGGTTTAGGGTTTAGGGTTTAGGGTTTAGGGTTTAGGGTTTAGGGTTTAGGGTGCTCAGACTTCTGAACCGTGAACTTTAAACCCTGAGCCCTACAAGCGCGGGTAGGACTTCTCAGAGCGCGCGATGCCGTGATGTCTCAGGAAGAGCGAGACAAGGACTCTTGGTCATCAAACCGAAGGCGGTCCGGATGTCCTACAACAACCCAAGAGCCCAATAGTTCGACCCAGTACGAGCCAGATAAAGCTTGCAGCTCAACCCTTCTTAAGCCACCAAGCCTATAAGCCTTTGCTACAGGAGGGTATGCACTTCTCATCAAACCGATCTATATACAGAGACTGAGACCATGCCAAGGTACGACTGAGAATGGAGGCAAGGCTTTGAAAGCCACCCAAGGACATAAGGATCCTACTGACTCCGCTCACAGCGACCACACATGAAAGCAAGCCTCCCACCCACACACCGACCCTAAATCCTAAACCCTAAACCTTTGAACCCTAAACCCTAAACCCAAGGACCCTTAAATCCTAAACCCTAAACCCAAGGGTTGAACCATAGGGCAGACAATCTCCGGGAAATCACCCAACCCACATGAGGACGAAGAAAAGCGAGGACCCGGAAAATCAAACACCCCACACAAGTCAAAGACAAAGGGGAAATCGCCTGCCGAAGACACCGGCTGACCTCCCAAACCCCGAACCCTCAACCCCAAACCCTAACCCTTCCCTGCCGTGACTTAAAGGTACGGGTCGAAAGGGGCCCTACCTTGAGGACGAAATCAAACCTCAAAGGTTTATTGTCCATTCTAAGCCCCAAGCCCTGAACGCTAAACCCTAAACCGTAACCCCTAAACCCTGAACCCTAAACCGTAACCCCTAAACCCTAAACCCTCAACCCTAAATTCGTGAAGGGATTCCAGGGTTGAGGTTGCCAGGTTGTGGGGTACATGATCCCAACCTAACTGCTGAAGGATCATGACTCCTACGGGTTTAGGGTTTAGGGTTTAGGGTTTAGGGTTTAGGGTTTAGGGTTTAGGGTTTAGGGTTTAGGCAATCGGTCATGCGGACTGTCACGAAGCGAGACACTTGGCGACTAAACGGATTCCAACTCAGAATTAAGTGAGTCAGCCATCCCTTGCCTGTCTGCGGGCACGGCGATGGGCTAACCACAGCGCCACAAAATTTGGCACATCATATGGAGTGGAAACATGAACAGAACGCATGGGAGCAAAGGGGAGCTGAGCGAACTTTCGCAAGGAGCGCCCTCCCATGACGCGTCTTGCTGTACACAGAAAGGAACTATCAAGGGAACGTCTGGGTCTTACCGAAATGCTCTGTACAGCATATTGGACATTCAAGGCCCTCAGAGAAGGTAGCTGAACGAACTGAATCTGCACCCCGCACATGTGCGCAAGTTGGCGAAGCACAGTGGAAAAAGTCCTGACTTGTTGATGAAGAGGCTGTCTGGCCAGCATCAAGCTGGGAAAGCGAAGTTCGTGAACCCACATTGCCGGCGCCCTCTCTGTGCCATCTGGTAGCGGTGATCGCTTCCAACCAGCGACGTTGATTGGGACTTAGGGTTTTCGGGTTTAGGGTTTAGGGTTTAGGATATGCCCTATAGCCCGAAACCACGAAAAAGTTCCAACACTAGGCTTCCAAGGTTGAAGCCCTAAGGCCCTAAACCCTAAACCCCCTAAACCCCAAACCCCAAACCCTAAACCCTAGCCCTAAACCCTAACCCCCCCCCTCCCCCCTTCCCCCCCTTCCCGCGGCCCCACCTTGCAACCAGGGGCTGGACAGTGAAGATCTAGGCAGCCTCGGAACGTTCGGGGCTTAGGGGTTTAGGGTTTTTAGGTCACTAAACCCTCAAACCTCAACCCTAAACCCTAGCCCTAAACCCTAAACCCTAAACCCTAGCCCTAAACCTCTTTAGGGTTGAGGTCCCTGAACTCTAAACCCTTGCCCTAAACCTTATGCACCAGAATGTTGGGATGCTCCCCCTTATACTAGCAGTCCTTAATAGGGATTGTAGTACCCCCTGTTATAATGCCGATAAGGACATTTAGTAGAAGGGGGGGACTTCCCAACCCTTCTCGTTTCAGTTCATTCGCAACAGACTCTTGTCGGCTTTAAACCCTCAACCAAGGTTTAAGGCTTTCGGATGACCCTAAACCCTAAACCCTAAACCCTACATCCTTCTTTGTTCTACCGAGGGCCCGCGAGGAACCTTGCCCCCGACGTGGGATCCTTGAAGAAGCCGTTCATCTTAGAAACGCTTTAGTATCTGCTTCCAGACCGTCTTCTTCGAAGCCGGAACACGAAGAAAGGCGCTAGATTTTTCCAATATGTTTCCTTTGCTTAGCAACCAAAGGTTCTAAAGTTTTCCTTCGCTCAATGTTCAGAATATGTCTAAGATTTGTTCTTGGTGATTGGCGACTCTGTCTCTGGAAACCTTTAACTCTGTGGACACTAAGTAGGGGATGAGCCCAATTCCTGACCCCAAACCCTGAACTCAAACCCTACAACCAAAATACTTGGGCCCTGGAAATCAAAAAGAAAATCAGAAGGGCGTGAATGGTAATGTCACCTTTTGTGCCCATACCGTCCTTGCAAAGAAAGTGTCCAGGCAAGAGAAGCCTGCCTACTGACTGGCAGGATCTGAGGTCAGGTTCTTGGGGTTCATGGGGCCCATATGGCATGATGCACGTAGGTCATCCTTGTATGTGGGGCTATTCCGGTTAGATGAAGGCAGTTGTTGCATGGAAACACGGGGCCCCGAGGCCCGGCCGAAATCCTGGAAAAATCTAGCATTTACCCGGAAAAGTCTAGCTTTTACCCGGAAAAGTCTAGCATTTGCCCGGAAAAGTTTAGCTTTTACTCGGAAAAGTGTAGTTTTTTGCCAGCCTTGGCATGGAAAGGCTTAGCCCGGCTCAAGAAAACACCTTCGAGAGCATGGGATTGGACGTGGTGAAAGAAAAGTTCAGCGCTCCGTTTAGATTGAGGCATAGGTTGTATGGAAACACGGGGCCCCGAGGCTCGGAAAAGTCTAGTTTTTGCTCAGCCCGAAAAGCCACTTGGGGGGGTGTCCAATCCCAAACACAATAAGACCTGAACCCGAAAAGCCTTGATCAACAACCGTTCCGAGTGCGATGTCGGGGTGTCCAATCCGAAACACGCTAAACCCTGAACCCGAAAAGTCTTGAAAACAACTGACGCACTAAACCCTAAACAACTCTAACAGTACACTAGCCCTGAACCTGAAAACTAAAACTTCAGCTATCCAAATTACAGACATCCCTGAACCCTGTTCGGCAGCAACATCCTAACCCATGACAAGGTAGTGAGCCCCAACCCCTTAAACCCGAAACCACAGTCTTGATGGCCAGGAAATATCAGCAATTCAGCGAATGAAAAGTCTAGTTTTTTCTAGCTTTTTCTAGTTTTCTCTAGCCGACCAGCAAACGGTGCTCGGGGCTAGATTTTCCTAGATTTTTACCTTGGCTCCGAAAATGATGGCCACGAAGCGACCTCGAAAATGTATCAATGAGTTCAGACCCGAAACCCGCCCAGGGTGTCGGGCCTAGGACCAAGGGAAAAGCTGAGGTGGGGTTTAGGGTTTAGGGTTTACTAAGCTTTAGGGTTTAGGGTTTAGGGTTTAGGGTTTAGGGTTTAGGGTTTAGGGTTTAGGGTTTAGGGTTTAGGGTTTAGGGTTTAGGGTGGCTTTCTGTAGGATGGAGACAATAGGCCGTGATGACGAGGGGTTTGGGGTTTACTAAACATTTAAATTTTGTGGGGGGTTGGGGTTGCGAAGACCAAAACTTCAGCGTGTTTCTAGCAAGGCCCGGCTGCCTTTGCCCTCCTCCACCGACATTTGCGCGTACTGGCGCCAGCAATCGAGGCAAAAGACCGGGTGCGGCTTCTCCTGGCAGAGAATACCTACACACCCTTCCGCTTCTTACTAACGCTTTCTAGTGGAGGTGCCTCAAACATGGCTTCTGCACGTACCAACCCACAAAGCAACCCAAGACCCCCAGGCCCCCCAAACCCCCCAAAAAACGTGAGAATCCTAAAAAACCCCAGCCCCAAACCCCAAGAAAACCAGAAACAAAAAGATCTGCCCCAACAATGTATGGTGAACCCCTGAATCTTGGATCATGGCTTCCGGGTCGCAAGGGCCCTTTCTGAGCATGTTCCCAATTTAGGTTGTTAGCCCAAGGGGTGGCCTTTGACAGTTTCAAACTGAATGATTCAAATTGAAAGTGTTTCGAAAATCTGAAACTTGGAGCCTCAAATGTTCCACGTTCAACATGAAGCTTGGACCCACTTGGGGTTTTTTAACGTCAAAGAACCATAAATGCGACGGGTTTTTCAACGTTAAACATGTGATAGTTGGAATATTCCGCAAACCAGACTTGCCTTTGTGGCGGGCCTTCAGGAGGGACATGTTCCAACTTTTCGGAGTTCACTGTATACTTGGCGAAAAGAACATACTCTAGGGGCCTCAATAAGTGGAATGGGCTTTGGGGGGTTTCTACAGCATTATGATATAGAGGCCAAACAACGACACACCCCAAACCCTAAACCCTAAACCCTAAACCCTAAACTCTAAACCCTAAACTCTAAACCCTAAACCCTAAACCCTAAACCCTAAACCCTAAACCCTAAACCCTAAACCCTTCGGAGCCACCTCCGGCTTCGCCCTGCGGCTGCATGGCAAGAGCTGCTCCCCCGGAGCGCAGAAGCCTGGGAGGGCCGAGATGTAGGGTTTAGAGTTTTGGGTTTAGGGTTTAGGGTTTAGGGCTTCGGGTTTAGGGTTTAGGGTTAAGGGTTTAGGGTTTGGGGTTTGGGGTTTAAGGACCTTTACAGTAGGGGGTTTAAAGGGGACTGAGCGGCTTAAGGAGTTTAAGGAGTTCTCTAGGTTTAAGAGCTTAAGAGTTAAAGGGTCTGAGGGTTTCAGGGGTTCAAGGGTTGAAGGAGCTTTAGGCGTTTAATTTTGGGTTCAGGGGTTAGGGTTTAGGGTTTAGGGTTTAGGGGTTAATTTTGGGGGGTCGGGATAATTACGAACAGTATCCCCTTATGGTCCCTTTGTAAGCATACAATAATAACCCCCAATAACCCTGTCTAATTGTTAAGGCCCTATATTATAGGTTAAGGGTTCAAGGGTTTGAGGGGTTTGAGAGTTCAAGGGCTTAAGGGTTTAAGGGGTCTAGGAGTTGAAGGGTTTAAGGGCTTAAGGGGTTTTAGGTGTCCAAGGGTTTAAGCGTTAAAGGGCTGTAGGGGTTTTCGGGTTTAAGGGCTTGAAGGGGGTTTAGGGCTTGGGGTTGAGGGTTTAGGGTTTAAGGGTTTCGAATGGGGTCCAGGGTTCGCGAAGGCGGGGCTCGGCATTCCCTAAACCCTAAACCCTAAACCCTAAACCCTAAACCCTAAACCCTGAGTAGTTTTCGCTTTCGCCGGGCAGCAGATACCACAGAGCTCGGAGGTAGGGCCCAGCTCTTCCTGGACAGGGAAGATGAGATTCTGAAGAGCTTCATGTGCATAGGGCGCTCAAACTAACTCTAAACCCTAAACGAACCCTGAGCCCTAAACCCTAAACCCTCAACCCAAAACCTTGCTTTACTGAGACTCGCTGTAAACGCACTGCTTCGTCTAGGGCTGATTTCGTCCCGCCAAGGTTCTGCCCTTATACTAACAGTCCTTAATCGGGATATATAGTACCCCTACTATAATCCCTACTACGGACTGCTAGTATAAGGGGGAACATCACAACCCTCAACCCTCAACCCTCAACCCTCAACCCTAAACCCTAAACCCTCAACAGCCAGATCAGCCCAAGACCCCAAACCCCGAAACCCTGGCATGATCTACTGGTTCAGGAATGAAACTTAGGTACCTGTCTCCCCCTCAACATATATACCCTTTAAGGGAGGCTAGAGGGCACCGCATACCCTCATGCCCCAAACCCTAAACCCTAAACCCTAAACCCTAAACCCTAAACCCTAAACCCTAAACCCTAAACCCCAAACCCCAAACCTAACCAAGAATCCGTAGGCCCCTTAGCGCACGCCTCGCCCTCGGAGATGCCGTGGCGCGCACGGAGGGCCTCGGCGTCCTCAAAGAAGGCCTTGAATCGAAAGGGTTGAGGGTTTAGGGTTGAGGGTGTAGGGTTTAGGGTTTAGGCTTTAGGGTTTAGGGAAACGGTGGGGCGCTTCCGCGGGTTGTCTTCGAAACTTAGGGTTTTTGGGGGTTTTGGTTTAGGGTTCAGGGTTTTAGGGTCTCAGGGTCTTAGGGCTTTAGGGTGTTAGGGTTTTAAGCCAAGGTGAGCCCTTAGTCAGCTTGTGCAGGCCAAACCCTATAAACCCCCAAACTCTTAAAATGCCTCAGCCCTGAGACACTTAAAGCTCCCCTCGGTTGATCATGAGATTGGGGTTGATTGAATTGCGATCTGGGCCCACGGGGGGGGGGGGGTTGGTAATTGGGGCTTATCAGGTGTGTGTGTGTGTGTGGACACAACATGATGGCCCTGTAAACCCTGCAAACCCTTCATGATATAAGAGGTTTACGAAAATTGTTTTCTATTTTCTAAATAGGGCCCCTAAAATAAGCCCCCAAATAGTAGGATCCCCTCAAACAAAAGAACCCCAATAAGGTACCCCTAGTTTCGGAAACCCCCATACAAGGGTTTATAGGGCTTGAGGCCTAAACCCAAAACCCAAAACCCTAAACCAAAAACCCGAAACGCTAAACCCTAAAACTTGCAACGACGGCCTCGTTGTAGACGGCCACATCCCATCGGCAGGCCCGCAACAGCAACAGCGCGTCATCTTCCTCGACACCTTTTGAAGATGTGGGGCTTCAAAGCTTGGGGTTTAGGGTTTAGGGTTTAGGGTTTAGGGTTTAGGGTTTAGGGTTTAGGGTTTAGGGTTTAGGGTGTGTTTCCGAAAGTAGGGGTCCCTTATTGGGTCCTTATTATAAGGAAATCCAACTTTGTTTTGGGGGGGTCTATATTCGGGCTTCAAAGCTGACACCGGTGGGGGTGTAGGGTTTAGGTTTAGAGCGTTTGCAAAAATGCCAGGGCTTGAGGCTGTAGACGTTACGGACTTGGAGCTCAGGAAAAAGGCTGTATTGGGCAAAAAGGAAAAGGAAATGAAGCGTTTCTGTCTCAATGTAATAGCTGGCTCTTGAAGATTGCATTTAGGCCTCAGAGTTTTCGGTGCCTACAGAACCCGAAGTAAACCCTACCACGCCCCAAGCGTCCTAGACCCTATAAACCTGCAAACCCTATAAGCCCTATAGAGCGCCTATACAAAAGCCCTAAAACCCCTATGAACCCCTATAAACCCCAAACAGGAAACCCAAAACCTCAAACCTAAACCCCCCAAACCCCCCAAAACCCCCCAAACCCCCCAAACCCGAAACCCGAAACCCCAAACCCTAAACCCGAAACCCTAAACCCTAAACCCTAAACCCTCAAACCCCAAACCCCTTCTGGGATCCTCTGGCTTCAGAGCCAGTGAGGCCGGGCCTGTGCACTCAACAGCTTCGGACACCAGCCGCTGCTGCTCCTGGCGGAGACGCAGCTCTCTTCTGAGGGGGCTTCCGCCCCCCAAGGAAGGTTTAGGGTTAGGGTTTAGGGTTTAGGGTTTAGGGTTTAGGGTTTAGGGTTTAGGGTTTTAGGGTTTTCGGGTTTGGGGTTTAGGGTTGAGGGGTTGAGGGTTGAGGGGTTGAGGGTTTTAGAGGGTTAGAGGGTTCGAAGCTTAGGAGTCGAAAGGACCCCTTTTTCAAGGGGCTCAAAAGCCTACTTCTTTGTAGGCTGCCTATAGCATCCTGTAAATGGAGTCGGTGGAATACGTAGCATGTAAAGGCAAGGCTTAGGAGCCTTGAGTATAGGAGACAGCCGCCGAACACTATTACTTAAACAGCCCCAGACCCAAACTCACCCAAAACCCAAAGCGACCCCCTCCCCCGAACCCCACCCCGTGGGTTTTCGGGTTCTAGGGCTACCTAAACATTAAACGCTAACCCTAAACCTTTGGAGCCTTGAAGGCACCCCAACCTTCTTGAGTGGGAACATTTTCATGCCGGCATAGTCGGGGAGGGGCTTAATGCCAGGTGGGGGAAAATATTGCGCCAGGGCCTACGCCCTAAGCCCTGAGCCCGAAACCCCAAGCCTCCAAAAAAACCACGGGTCGGGGATCAAAAAAAGGAATTTGGGATCAAAAAATAGCTTATTTCTAGGCGGATCAAAAAAAACTTATTTGGGATCAAAAAATAATTTACTGAAGGCTTCGAAGGCTTCTTGCAAGCGAAGCGGAGGCCGTAAACGCTCAGAAATGCAGCAGTTCTGGCCGTTCGCAAGCTCTAAATACCGGAAAAGCACAGCATTTATGCAGGAACTACTGAAAATAGCAGCATTTCTGAGTTCCCAGAGAGGCTGCAGATATTGTATATAGCAGCAGTTCTGCGCTTTCAGACGCTGGAAATACTGTACACTGCAGCATTTCTGAGTTTCCAGAGGCTGCAAATACTGAAAATAGCAGCATTTCTGCGATTTCAAAGGCTGGACATACTGTAAATCGCAGCATTTCTGAGTTTGCAGAGGCTGCAAATCAATGCTGGCATCTTGGCATTAGAAGTTCCAAAATATGCGTATTCTCTGAAGCATGTATGTTATGGCATAGTATTGTATATTCTTGTATTGTATGACATTGTATATTCTTGCATATTATTGTATATTGTTGTACATCTTGTTGAGTATTATTGTATTGTCGTGTATTTTCTTGCATTTTTGTATAATACTTTATATTGTTGCATATTATTGAATGTTATTGTATATTTTCAAAATTAGTGTGTATTATTCTCTTTTTTGTAGATTACTGTACATTATTGTATATTATTGAGTTTTCTTTGTATGTTACTGCAGATTATCTAGATTATAGTATATTATTGTATGTCATTGTATATTATTGTCTATTATTGTATATTATTGTATACTATGTTACATTATTGCATGTCATTAAGTTTTTGTGTTTTTTCTATATTACTGTATATTTTTTGTATATTTTCGAAAATTATTGTATATATTGTTGTGTATTATTGTACATTTTTGGGTATTATTGTATATTGTTGTCGATTATTGAATACTATTGTCAATTACTGAAAATTGTTGTAAGTTATTCTTGTTTTACGTGTATATTGCTGCATATTCTTGTATATACTTGAAAAGTGTTGTGTTTTTGTGTAATATTATATTATGCAAAAAAGTGCTCGCATCATGGGATTAGAAGGATTCATGTGCTTTGAAGCAAGCTTGCCCGGACTAAGAAAACAGCGGGGGGGTTGGGGGGGGCGCAGCCCCCCCCATTATGATACTCTATTCCACTATATAATATCATTGTACTTTGTTTTAATATATACACATACATATATCATATGTTATGTTATGTTTTCCTACAGAACTAAATATACCATTATGACCAAAAAGCAATAAATAAAAACAAACTCTGACCACGGGACCGGGAAACCACGGGACCAGAGGACCGAAGGACCGGAGGACCAGAGGACCAAGTGACCAGAGGACCTTAGGAGCACAGCACCAAGCAACCAAAGGCCAGAACACGTATGCTTTGAAGCAAGCTGGCACGACGTCTTCCTTGCTTTCTTTCTTTTGTGAAATTGCCTTTTTCTGTCTTTCTTGATTCCGGCCTTCCTTTTCCTTTTCCTTTTCCTTTTCCTTTTCCTTTTCCTTTTCCTTTTCCTTTTCCTTTTCCTTTTCCTTTCCTTTCCTTTCCTTCCCTTCCTTCCCTGCTTCCCTGCTTCCTTGCTTCCTTGCTTCCTTGCTTCCTTGCTTCCTTGCTTCCTTGCTTCCTTGCTTCCTTGCTTCCTTCCTTCCTTCCTTCCTTCCTTCCTTCCTTCCTTCCTTCCTGTCCTTCCGTCCTTCCGCCCTTCCTTCCCTCCCTCCCTCCTTTTCTCCCTCCCTCCATCCCATTTTCTCTTTCTCCGTCGGAAGAACAGAATAAATTATTTTTTGATCCTAAAAAATATTCTTGATCCTAAATAATTTTTTCTTGATCCTAAACAATTTTTTTTGATCCGCATCCCCAAAAAAACCCTAAACTCTTAGGATGTTCCCCCTTACACTAACAGTCCTTCATAGGGAGTATATAGGGTTCTTGAGGGCTCCCAAGAAATACAAAAAAACACATAATCCCTAGATTGCCCTTGTGAGGACTTGTTTCTTGGAAGGGTTCTTCAGCAAATGACGTGATTTTTTTCCGGGTACCCTCAGCCCTTTTTTTGGGGGGGTTTAGTTTTGGTGGCGGGCGCCTCTTCGAGGGCCGCGACGCTGTTGAAGATGTGCTCCGGCCGGGCATCTGCCCGCAATGGGCCGAGGGTTTGGGGTTTAGGGCTTAGGGTTTAGGGCTTAGGGTTTAGGGTTTGGGGCTTAGGGTTTAGGGTTTAGGGCTTAGGGTTTAGGGTTTATGGTTTGGGGCTTAGGGTTTATGGTTTCGGACCCTAAACCTTAAACCCTTAACCCTAAACCTGCACTCGCTTTAGTGTTTGGGTTTATGCTTCAGAGGCTTTCGGGTTTCAAGGTTTAGAGCCGGCAGAGGTTGGAACGCTGAATGCCAAGTCATGTGTCTAGCAGACTCGTCACGTCTACCCACCCTGCCCTGCACCCTATAAGCCCTATAAGCCCCCTAAGCCCCACGAACCTCATAAACCCTACAAACCCTTCAAACCCTAATCCTTAACCCTAAACCCTAAACCCTAAACCCTAGCAAAGCTGCCTTCCACCTCCACGGCTTGGGGACTGTCCTGTCCAGACAAGGGCCCATGAGCCGCCCAAAACGTTTTAGGGTTTAGGGTTTAGGGTTTAGGGATTGGGGTTTAGGGTTTAGGGTTTAGGGACGTCACAGACGTTGGGACTCTGGCCGGTTTGGGGTTTGGGGTTTGGGGTTTGGGGTTTCGGGTTTAGGGTTTTGGGTTTAGGGATTGAGGTCTAGGAATTGGGGTTTATGGATGATTGGGGTTTCGGGTTTGTTAGGGTCTAGGGATTGAGGTTCCGGGGCTATGAGATGAAGGATTTCAAGAACTTCGACATCAAGCTCAAGCTTCTCAGGCGCTTCCCGATGTCAAGCTGGCGCTCGGTTAGGCCTGCTTCCTGCGTACCTGCCTCCGCGGCGGCGTCCTTCTCAGTGATGGCCAGGTGTTGCAGGATCACGTGGTTCTGCTCCAAACCTTAAACCCTAAACCCTAAACCCTAAACCCTAAACCCTATTCTCTGTGAGTCCGCTACCAAGTAAGGAGCTCGAGAGAGAACAAGCAGTTGAGCTTGTTCAGGCACCTGGCAGAAACCCATTTCGCCCCTATACCCTAAACCCTAACCCTGAACCCTGAACCCTGAACCCTGAACCCTGAACCCTGACCCTGAACCCTGAACCCTAAACCCTAAACCCTAAACCCTAAACCCTAAACCCTAAACCCTAACCCTAAACCCTAAACACGGCTCGCGGGTGCCCAAGAAGGGTCCAGCTCACCCCCGTCCCATGTCCTCCGGAAGCGAGAGGTCGTCATCCTCGAAGGAGTACCTCCCAGGGGTTTAGGGTTTAGGGTTTAGGGTTTAGGGCTAGGGTTTAGGGTTTAGGGTTTCGAGTTGTAAACCCCTTGAAAGCTTGGGATCTAGAGTTTAGGGTCTACATATGGGGTTTCCGAAGTTAGGTGCCCGTTATTGGGATCCTTACTTTATGGAAATCCTACTATTTGGGGACTAATGCTAGGGGTCCCTTAGTTTCGTATACCCCCAGATCTCTGGGCACACGTGTGTATAATAAGAGCAAAGTCAGCAACAACAACTACAACTCAACCTAAGCCCTGAACCCTGAACCCTAAACCGGACTTCTTGTTGAGGCCATGAAAGGGTGGAGGACCCTTCGGCAAAGTGGCACCCCAAAAGGCAGCCTTGGAACCCACCAGGGGCACTGTGTGTGGTCCGTGTTCCGCGAGGTACCGCGGTGCAGCTCAGGCGGCACGAGTGCCGCGTCCATCGATATTTTGGGGTTTGGGGTTTTTGGAGAAGACGAGCTTCGAAGCTCTTGAGGCGTTCGGGTTTAGGGTTTAGGGCTACTTTAACATTCGGGGTTTGGGGTTGTGAAGAAGAGCTCGACTGGTTAACATTAGAGGTTGAGTGGGCTCCGGTATCGGGTCAGTACGTGCGGATCAGACTGGGCTGACTCCAAGCCACCCCCTAAACCCTAATTTAAACCCTAAACCCCAAACCGATTTCGGCTCCGGGGTTAAGGGGGTTCAAGGCTCTCCGATGAAGTTTGCAATCGGCTCCCATCAATGTTGCAAAAATGCGGCTGCGCGGGGGACGGGACCCTGAGGCCCAATACTTGCTGACCCTGAATAGGGAAATTGACAGTTAGGGTTCCCATAACCTCCCTCAAACACAAAGGCCAGAATCCTCAAGCAGAGGAGTTTAGGATTGAGGCTTAGGTACCCCTAAACCCTACGTCCCAAACCTCTTATGTGGGTAGGGATTGCAAGGGCTTGGGGGCTCCAGGGGAGGCCCGCCTCACCATACCAACTATGTTGAAGGGAGCGCCGGGCCCATTTTAGGGCCCCAAGAGCTCCATAGTCTATTTACGTTTAACTGGGGTAGGGTTTAGGGATTATAAGGTTTAGGGTTTAGGGTTTAGGCGCCACACATTTTCTTGGCAACCGGTGCACACGACGAGCAGCTCGAGAGCCCAGGAGCCCAGTCGACGCAACACCGCGACTGCTTTATGCTTTTTGTTTAGGGGCTAGGGGTTAGGGGTTAGGGGTGAGGGGTTAGGGTTTAGGGTTGAGGGTTGAGGGTTTAGGGTTCAGTGTTTAGGGTTTGGGGTTTAAAGAGCCCGAAAAACCTCGTCTGGCGTTGCGCTCCCCAGGCCCCATCATAAAAGCCTGCTGACGGGACGTCGTGCCCCGGCTCCTAATGTTACCCAGACCCACAGTTCCAAGTTCCTTCTTGGGGGGGGGGGGGGGGGGGGCTTGTGGTTTAGGGTTGGAGATTTAGGGCGTATCAGGGGGTTTTCGGCACCATGGCCTCATCACAAGCCTTAGAAGTTGGTTCTTTCCCGCCCAAAACGTGACGTGACCTGCCCCAAACAAAGGAACCACAAATTGTGGGTCTAGGTACTGCTGGTGAAGGTCGAGGGCTCTGGTGTCGGTTCGGGGGTTGCACTGAAAGCATCGGAAGATTGAAGATGCTGGATAGTGGGATGTCCTTCACCAGCTGCACCAGTGAAACGATGCGGAACAGACTACGGCGCAGTGTCGATAGCTCCCCTACTTTCAAGAGAAGTTGTGAAGTCTTAAGCTGAAGCCCTAAACCCTAAACCCTAAACCCTAAACCCTAAACCCTGAACCCTAAACTCTCTTGACTGTTATAAGAGCTTTGCGCGATTCCGAGTTTCGCGTCGTGGGCGGCTTCGTGAAGGGAAGACGGGCTTGGCCTGAGCCCTAAGAGAGTTCACGTACCTAAGTTGGGGTTTGGGTTTAGGGTTTATAGGGTTTATAGGGTTTATAGGGTTTATAGGGTTTATAGGGTTTATAGGGTCTATAGGGTTTATAGGGTTTATAGGGTTTATAGGGTTTATAGGGTTTATAGGGTTTATAGGGTTTAGGGTTTAGGGGATGCTGGGGCCTTAGGGTAATTCCTACATCAGGACTTTGGGGGGACCAAGTGTATATTCATGCGCTACGTGGAGCTTCAGGGGGCCGAGAAACCCTAAACCCTAAAGTCTAACTTAGGGTTTACAGCTTGGTGTTCTGAAAACGCCGGTGTCGTCTGCTCCCAAAGAAGCTTGAAGAGGCCCACTTGGCCTCCACCTGCAGAGAAATCTCCAGGTTGGGATGTTCCCCTTATACTAACAGTCCTTGATCGGGATTATAATGCAGGGGTACGATCATCCGTATCAAGGACTGTTAGTATAAGGGGGAACCTCCCAATCTCCAGGGGTAAAAGGGTGTAAGAATGTGCCGCGCGCCCTAAACCCTGTACCACTAGGCCATGACGCGGTTTTCCTGATTTGTGTCGCGGCGTTTGTATGGTAGTAGTTTCAGATTTTTGGGGCAGCGGTGAGGGCGGAGGGGGTTTGGGCTTGCATTGGAGGTCTTGAGAACATCATTTTTAGAGAGGAGACGCGAGAGGAGGCGGCAAGTAGTTGGAGGTAAGGTGTAGGGGTTAAAGTGTAGGGAGGGGTAGGGGGTAGGGGAGTAGTGGACGTGGGCTTAGGACCCTGCATGCGCTAACAAAAGCCTCGGCTTTTAAGGGGGGCGGGGGGGTGGGAGGAGGGATTCAATTGCTTAAGAACCACTCCAAAAAAGCAGAACAACAATCCCTACATTGCCTTTACACGGAAGAAAATTTGCATTTGTTGGGGGGTTCTTAAGCAAATAATGGATGTTCTGTACTAATTCCGTGGTTGGTAGTCAGGCAATGGTATTCACGAGCGCTGCTGCCCAAAACTCAAGCGAAGAGCAACTGCGTAGCAGTTCATGTCCCAGTGTGAGGCTTAAGGCTTAGGGTTTATGATTTGTGTCCACCTAAGGAGACGGGGATTTTTGGAGGTTGTTGAGAAGCCTGGACCTTTTGTAGCCCAAAAGGTTTGGAGTTTGGGGTTTAGGGTTTAGGGTTGTGCAGAGTGTCGGCTTGAATCCGGAGAAGGGGCTTCGATTTGACAACTTCCAGTCACCCCCCTACACGAGGCTCCTGCGAGCTCTCTCCTCCCTGGGGAGTTTGGCCGGCGGCCAGAGCATCCTAAACCCTAAACCCTAAACCCTAAACCCTAAACCCGGCAACCTGGACAAATTCCTTTTCGGGTTGCAGACATGGTTCGGGTTTAGGGTTTAGGGTTTGGGGTTTAGGGCAGTTTAGGGTAAAGGCTTGGGTGTGCAGAGGTCCTTCGTGCACGGGCGCATGCTCCTTTTGAATCCGTGCGGCGCCAGAGTCCAAACCCTAACCCTAAACCCTAAACCCTAACTTTAAACCCTAAACCCTATACCCTAAACCCTAAACCCTAAACCCTATACCCTAAACCCTAACCCCTAAACCCTGAACTGCCCAGATCGCTCATGGGCGGCAGGGCTTATCCATGCGCGGCCCCCTGGGGTCCATACACTTCGACCTGGTTCAGGGTTTATGGGGTTTGGGGTTTGGGGTTTGGGGTTTAGCGTTTAGGGTTTAGGGCTAGGGTTTAGGGTCTGGGGCTTAGGGTTTAGGGCTTAGGATTTGTGGGTTAGTTAGGGTTTAGGGGCTTAGGGTTGGGGAGGTGAGGGTTGAGGGTCTGTTCGGCGAAGGGGTTCAGGGCTTTAGAGCGCGTGATTTAGAGGTTTGGGGGCCTGGGGGAGCTGGTAGAAAAGTAGAGGTTTCCCAAGGTACGGACCACAAATATCGAGGATCACCACCGAAAATTATGGTACTTTGACCCCAAACCCTAAACCCTAAACCCTAAACCCTAACCCCTAAACCCTAAACCCTAAACCCTAAACCCTAAACCGAATGGATTGACCACCTGCCTGCGTAAGCTGCAGGCACTGCCGCCGGGCCAGCTGAACTCGGACGTAGCGGCCCTTGCAGGAGAAGGGAAGGATCATCCGCCGTTGCTCTGCACCCTCTCCCTGCGGCTTGGGGCAGAAGGGTTTAGGGTTTAGGGGTTAAGGTTTAGGGTTTAGGGTTTGGGCTTCGGGTTTAGGGCGCTAGGGTCTTTTGGGGGGCTGAGGCTTTCGGAATTTCATCCTAGACCCTAGAAGCCCTCTAATAGACTGGCTCAAAAGCGATTGGATTCTCAGGGTTTGGGCTTTGAGCCCTCAACCCTGTAAACCCCAAACCCTGAACCCCAAACAGAGGGAAGGCCTTTAAACCCTTAAACCCTTAAACCCTTAAACCCTTAAACCCTTAAACCCTTAAACCCTTAAACCCTTAAACCCTTAAACCCTTAAACCCTTAAACCCTTAAACCCTAAACCCTAAACCCAGGGGGGGAAGGCTTTTTGTTAAACCGGGAGCCTGCGGCTTGGGACAGAAGCGCTCGGCACCTTGCTGGCAGAAATGGTCCATAGAGAGGGCTGAAAGCCTTTCGGTTTTTTTTACACTCTAGGCCTCTCAGGCTCTCTGAGGTTTAGGGTTTAGGGTTTAGGGTTTAGTGTTTAGGGTTTAGGGTTTAGGGTTTAGGGTTTAGGGTTTAGGGTTTAGGGTTTAGGGCCCAGGGCGAGGCGCTGGCCCTCCTCCGGGCGATCTCGAGCGTGCCGTTTCCCGGGGGGAAAGGCCTCTCCGAGACCAGCACCTGGGAAGGAAGGCCCGGTGAGTTTTAGGGTTTAGGGTTTAGGGTTTAGAGCTAGTGTTTAGGGTATAGGGTTTAGGGTTTTGGGTTCGGGGTTTAGGGTTCAGGGTTTAGGGTGTATTGTTTAGAGTTTAGGGTTGGGATGTTGCCCCTGAACCTCACAGTCCTTAATCGGAATTTGAATAGGGGGTACTATAATCCCCACTAAGAACCAATAACAATAATCCTAATGATAAAAATAATAATAGTAGTAAAACGTAGGGCCTGGAACTGAAAATGCAGATGCGCATCACATGAAGCTGGGCGCGTAGCACGGCCACAGCCTCTCCATAGCTACTTTGCGCGTGTAGACGTGTATCTCGCCGATCTCGAAGGCGTTTCCAAGATCTACCTGCCACCACGCCTCATAGGGTTTAGGGTTTAGGGTTTCGAGTTTAGGCTTACAAACCCCCCAAAACTCAAAACCCGAAAACCCCGAAACTCGAAAGCCCTAAACCTCCGAAACCCTCAAACCCCAAAACTCGAAAACCGCAAAACCCCACAGCCCCAAAACAAACCCCAAAAACACATCAAACGAAAACATTAAATATAACTATAAGAAAAGTAAGAAGAATAGTAGTAAATATTCTAATGACAATATTTAAATAATTATGTTAATAATAACAACTATTATATTCAAACATAATAAAAATAATAGTAATAAAAAAATAATAGTAAGAGTAATAACATGGATTTGTGGCCTCTGAGTCTGCCCCGGTGTGGGCGCAGTTGCCGGTCCGATCCTCGTTGTCGCCGTCCACCGCGTCGCGTTCCTTGTGGACTTGCAGGGTTTCGGGTTTAGAGTTTCGGGGGTTTAGGGGTTTAGGGTTTTAGGGGTTTAGGGGTTTTGGGTTAGGGGTTTAGGGGCTTAGGGGTTTAGGGGCTTAGGGTTTAGGGCTAGGGTTTAGGGTTAAGGTTTAGGGTTTAGGGTTTAGGGCTAGGGTTTAGGGTTTAGGGCTTAGGGGTTCAGGGGTTTCGGGTTTAGGGCGCATTTGGTCTCCCAGGCTCCCGAGGCCGCGGTTCGCTGCCTGGGTGCGTGTAGTTGCTGCTCATCTCGCCTGGGCGGGGGGGGGGGGGGGGGATGGTTTAGGGTTTGGGGTTTAGGGTTTAGGGGTTTGGGGTTTCGGGTTTGGAGTGTAGGGTTTGGGGTTTAGGGCTTGGGGTTAAGGGTTAAGGTTTTGGGGTTCAGAGTAAGAAAGCAATATAGGGTTTAGGATTTGGGGTTTGGGGTTTAGGGTTTACGGGTTTAGGTTTTAGGTTTGGGGTCTTGGGGTTGGGGTTTTTTGGTTTGGGGTTTAGGGTTCGGGGTTTAGGTTTTGGGGCTCAGGGTTGAGGAGTTCGGGGTGGGTAGGGTTTGGGGACTTGGGGGATTCGGGCTTTGCAGATTTTGGGGATTGCGGGGCGGGCGAAGTCGGTGAAGGTTTGGGGGTTGGGGCGTGGGGCTTCGGAGACTTGGGGAGGGGGAACTCAGCTTTGCTCTAGTCTTGTGTGTTTCGTAGAGGCGGCTTCACCTAAAACCTCATACACCCTCAGACCCTAACTCCGCTACCCTGACAAAATGACCCCAGAAACACCACCTTTACCCCAAACCCCTAACACCCTAAAACCCTAAACACTTAACACCGTAAAGCCCTAAAACCCCTGTCCCGAAAGCCTAAGCCCCTAAAACCCTAAACCCTAATCCTTAAAACCCTAAAGCCCTGAACCCTAAAACCCTAAATCCCGAACCCCTAAAACCCTAAACCCCGAAAACCCGAACCTTTACCCCTAACCCTAAACCCTGCACCGCTAAACACGAAAACCCTAAAACCCGAAACTCCTAAACCCAAAAACATAAAACCCTTTTCCCCCAAATCCTGCGCCCAGAAGCCTTAGCCCCAAACCATAAACCCTAAACCCAAACCCTAAACCCGGAACCCCAAACCCTGAACCCCAAACCCGAAACCCGAAACCCCAAACCCTAAACCCCCAAACCCAAAACCCTAAACCCCAAACCCTAAACCCTAAACGCCAAACCCTACACCCTAAACCCTAAACTAGCAGCAAGGGCGCACGGCTTGCGGAAGGCCAAAACCCATAAACCCTAACCCTAAACCCTAAACCCTAAACTAGCAGCAAGGGCGCATGGCTTGCGGAAGGCCAAGTTCGGAATTGCCACGGCCGTCAGCGCCACCTCCGCGCCAAAGCCTCGGCCTCCCAGCGTCTCTGAGAGCTCGAGCTTCCTTGGTTTAGGGTTTAGGGTTTAGGGTTTAGGGTTTAGGGCTTCGGGTTTAGGGTTCCGGGTTTAGGGTTGAGGGTTTGGGGTTTAGGGTTTGGGGTTCAGGGCTTGGGGTTTAGGGAGGCAATGAGATTGCTTAAAGCTGCGAGTGGGCCCTGAAAACGAGAAAAGGTGCCCCGAGCAGCATGCGGCGCTTTAGGGCTTAGGGTTTATAGGGCTTCGCCATACTCCTTTTTCCGGGCAAATGGAGAGCCCAAACCCAAACCCCTAAACCCCAAGGCTCTCCGTCCCGGAGAGAAGATGAAGATTTCCCAAGCCACCTGTGCAAGTTTTGGTGGACATTGGCTTATCCATAGATCTTTCATGTGGCCCAAAAAGTCAGAGGGAACCACCCGAAACCCTAAACCATAACCTCTTCCCGTATTCAAGCATATGGGCCCTGACACCCCCCTAGGCTGGGGTTTAGGGTTTAGGGTTTAGGGTCAAGGGTCTAGGGTTTAGGGTTTAGGGTTTCGGGTTTAGGGTGTAGGGTTTAGGGTTTAGGGTGTAGGGTTTAGGGTTTAGGGTTTGGGGTTTGGGGTTTGGGGTTTGGGGTTTGGGGTTTGGGGTTTGGGGTTTGGGGTTTGGGGTTTGGGGTTTGGGGTTTGGGGTTTGGGGTTTGGGGTTTGGGGTTTGGGGTTTGGGGTTTGGGGTTGCTGTGTCTTGGGCCTGCTGGCTTTAACTCCTAGCCCCCCAGGTGTGCACATCAGCTACCATGAAAGGTGGTGCCACCATTGATGGCGTAAGGTTTAGGGTTTAGGGTTTAGGGTTTAGGGTTTAGGGTTTAGGGTTTAGGGCTTCAGGTTCAGGGTATAGAGATTCTAGCGGAATCTAGCGCAAAGGTAGGGAAAGCGGCACTTGAGGACAGAAAGGGCCCAGGTAAAGCTCAAGCAAGCCCTGCCACTAGAATTTTCATTAGGGGCCTTGATCATTGGAATAGGGTTTTGGGGGTTGTTTTTGAATAATTATATAGGGACCCTGTATGCAAAGAAAGTTAGTAGTTATTCCGACGCCTACATCAAACGTCCCAGATGCCTGTCGAGATGACTCGGTCGAAAATCTCGCGCACAGGCGCGTCGCTGCGGAAGCGCTCGCAAAGGAGCTGATTCCCCGAGACCTGCTCAACGCCTTGGCTTAGAGCTTGGAATATGGGGTTTAGGGTTTAGGGAGTTTAGGGTTTGGGTTTCTGTAATATAGGGGCCTTAATTATTAGAATAGGTGCTCTGGGGGGGCTTGGGGCATATTTATAGAGGGACCGGAAGGGGATACTGTTTCAAATTATTCCGACCCCTACATTACCCTAGAACTCCTCTTTTCATAGATCATGCACGCTCTGCTACTATAATCGAGATGAATGGACCAATTGGGGCTCTGGGGTAAGGTCACGGTCTTGTCTGTAAGTTTGGAAGGTGCATGATGGCCATGCTCAGCGTTTCTAAACCCCTAAAACCCACACCCTTGGCCCTAAACCCCAAACCCTCGGCCCTAAACCTTAAACCCTAAACCCTGAACCCTAAACCCTACCCCAGGGTGTGTGAGTTTGGGATGTTCCGGATGTAGGCATTTGGGTTGGATAGTTTAGATTTGCTTTGGGGCGTATAGGGTGCAAGGTTCAGGCTTAGGAGTTTGGTGTTGGGGTTTTCGGTTTGAAGCATAGGGTTTTAGGGCTTAGGGTTTGTCACGCTGGGGGGCTTTACGCGGCCTGGGGTTAGGAGTGGGGCTTTAAGGTCTGGGATTGACTTTGGAGCTAAGCGTTTGGGGTGCGGGGCTTGTCTCTACACCTGGGGAGGAGTCGTACAGGGCAGTGTAGTCTACACCCAGGAGTTAGGGTGAAAAGGTGACCCTTTTTGGCCTAAAGGGGGTTACAGGGGAACCCAAACTAAAAAAAGGGAAAAGGGCCTACTCCGGGTCCTAGTAGTCCTAGCTGAAGGGTTCATTTGCTTGCCCAAGCACTATGCTACACTCCTCAAGCTCAAACATCGACTTATAGGGTTTGGGGTTTAGGGTTAGTTGCGTGCACGCCGCCATGTGTTGCATCGCGCGTGACATGCGGCATGTGGATTCAGAGTAGGTTTCTCCAATGGAGGCGCTGGTACCATTGCAAGTGCAAAATGCAATAGATGCTGACTTGTTGTTTACATATGCTCAAAGCAAGCCAAACCCAAAATCCTTGTAACTAGGGTTCCGTAATCATCTAGGGTATAGTATAGGGGCCTTCATGGCTAATTATCCAACAATTATCGAGGGACCCATAAGGGAATATTACTCGTAACTATTCCGACCCCTACATTAGGAGAGCGCACATCCAGGGCACGGACAAGAACAAGCTGGCCCTCGGACGCCACATCGGCGTCCGGCCCTGGCCCTGCTTTGGCAGCCGCAGGCTTCGTAAAGCAAGATCTCCGGTTTCCCATTGCTCTCTGCAGGAATCTGCACAAGGGCTGCGAAGCAACAGGAGGGTTCTGCAGCCCCAGGGGAGCCCCCTGTGCTCTCACCACTAAATCGCATTCTCCCGAAACTCCACACCCTAAACCCCAAACTCAAATCTAAACCCTAAACTCCAAACCCTAAACCCTAAACTCCGACTTGGTACCCCTTCATGTTTAGGGTTTAGGGTCTAGGGTTTGGGGTTAAGGTTTAGGGTTTAGGGTTTAGGGTTTAGGGTTTAAGGTTTAGGGTTTAGGGCCTAAGGCTTATAGGCCCCCCCAGGAAGAGCTTCAGACTTGAGGGCTTAAACCCTGTACGCCCCAGACCCTAAATCCGAAGCTTCCCGTAAGCCCCAAGGCCCTCAACCTGACTGCAACAGCTGCGGGATGTGCATCATGAGCTCTTCTGCAGTTCTCTACGAACATAATCCTCTTCCGATAGGTTCCAGTCGTGGCTTGGGGTTTTGGGGTTTAGGGTTTAGGGTGCGGTATTCTCAATAGCTGGTCCAAGTATCTTGCGGGGTCACCGCCAAGTCCCAACACGTGAACGGCCTTTGCCCTAAGCCACACATGGCCGTAAGCCCTAGATTCAGCTGGCCGTACACGTAAGCCCTAGATTCAGCTGGCCGTACAGCCCTACACCCTCAGCCACAAATTGTGAAACCCTCAGCCCTACAAACCCTAAACCGCAAAGGGCCTCAGCCGCCTCAGAAGAAGCGATTGTAGATGTTCTGTATCCCGGGCCTTTGCACCCGGAGGAGTCGGGAAGCAAGAAACGTTCTCGGGTTGAGGGTTTTATCAGGCTGAGCCTATGGGGTTTAGGGCGGAGGGCTCGTGTCCCAAAAGGAGGGGAGTGGGCAGAAAAGTGTTGGGTGGGGTGGAAAGCTGCAAGTGCATCCAAGGACCAGATTCCTTGAAGGCTGCAAAAGCAAGTGCGCGGACAATGACTCGCAAGCTGCGTTTAAGTCGGTTTGAATTATTCCCTAAACCCTAAACCCTAAGCCCTAAACCCTAAGCCCTAAACCCGAAGCCCTAAACCGTAAACCCGAAACCCTAAACCGAATACTCTGTGCTGCTATTTGCAGCAACTTACTAGGCTGGGCCAGACACCCTCCCAAAGATACTCCTCCATTAAGGGTTCGGTTTAGGGGCTGATTGAGATCGCTGAAGCCCAAGAATGGGAATATGAAGCTTCCTTGGCAATGAAGGGCATATGGTGCCAGCTTGTTGGAGTTCATTTCCCATGCATCCTTGGGGAACCCTAAACCCTAAACCCTAAACCCTAAACCCTAAACCCTAAACCCTAAACCCTAAACCCTAAACCCTAAACCCTAAACCATACGTCATCCTGACATGCCCCCAATTCGGTGCCGGCGCCTGCATACAACCATTCAGGGTTGCTCAAGGAACCCCGAAAAGCAACCCTTTAAACTCTGAGCCCGTAACGTACCCCAAAAGCCCAAACCCCAAAGCCTTGAACTTAAACCTGGAAAAAAAAAACTGAACCCATCCGTGCACCTCAAACACAAAAAAAGCCTTGACGATGTCGGTTTCAGGGCACCTCAATCCCCCAGCCGAAACCCTAAACTTTCAAACCCTGTAAACCCTACCCCTTAAACTAAACCTTAAACCTTAACAGGAACAGGGTTTGGGTTTGCAGGGTTTAAGGGCCCCAAAACAACCCGAACCCTAAATCCTAAATCCTAAACCCGAAACCCTAAACCCTAAACCCTAAACCCGAAACTCTAAACCCTAAACCCTCAACCCTAAACCTCTTCCTGGGGATCCCGCAGCCATGGCATGACTCCTCCTCTCCCCTCCACGGCAGTGCGAAGCGCCTTTTGAAGACGATTTAGGGTTTAGGGTTTAGGGTTTAGGGTTTAGGGTGTAGGCTTTCGACTTTAGGCTTTAGGGTTTTGGGGTTTAGGGCTTAGGGTTTAGGGGGCTTAGGGTTAAGGGTTTCAGGGTATGGGGCTTAGGGTTTCGGGGGCTTAGGGTTCAGGGTTTCAGGGTTTAGGGGGCTTCAGGGTCTTCAGGGCTTTAGGGGATTTAGGGTTTAGGGGGCTTGGGGTTCCCCAACCCGAAACCCCTTACATGGGCTTTCAGGGCTTCAGGGGGTTGGGCTCTTTCGCTCAGGCACCAGCTTCTCGGGGCTTCGTGGCTGAGGCTTGGGGTTCCGCATGTTTACGGTGGCGGCGAAGGGTGTTCGACCCACCTGGTTCTTCGTAGGGAATGAGGGAGTGAGGTACCCTATATATACATATATATATATATATCCCCTGTAAAGGATGATATAGGGTAATTACCTCAGTCCCTCATTCCGTACTAAGAACTAGCCAGTTGCAGAGGTTTACGGTTTCGGATCGCTTTGCAGTGCACAGATGCATGGGAAGCAGGAGTTTGGGCTTCAACCAAAATTCGGTGTTGGGGTTTAGGGCATTGTGGAGGGTTCAGGGTTCAGGGTTCTGGCTCTTCTAGATCTAGGGCTATGATACCTAACCCCCAAGTCGTCGGCAACTGTGGTCCCGGACGCAGGGTAAGGGATTGGGAACCCTAAACACTAAACCATGAACCCGAAAACGTAAACCCTAAACCCTAAACCCTAAACCCCAAATCCCTGCAAGCCCCAGCCCATGCAGCCGCCTGCGGGAAGGAGTTGTACGACCTTTGCAGCGTAGCGACGTGCGGGGTTGGGAGAGTATGAGGTGTGAGGCTTTTGGGTTAAGGCCATCAGGCTGTCACTTTTAGCTGCTCTTGCTGCTGGTGCTTAGGGGGTAGTAGGGCTTCTTTTGCTGTTGATGTTTAGGGGGTATTAGGGCTTCGGGAGTATTATAGAGTTTGCGGTGTTAACGTGGAGCACTTCTTGTGCTTCGTGTGCCGGGATGGGGGAGGCAATTCCACGCAGGCATGCGTTGGATGCTTGTGGCAATGAGGACGTTCTTGGGGCTCAGGCAACAGTGCTCTTACTTCCCCGCTCATCCACGCATGTTGGGTTTTTATGCTCCATTCTATCCCGAAACATTAAGCAACACATAAACATTAAACTATCATTAAACCCTAGACCATGTCCAACCCTTCGAACTTCGAACCCTACAAGCCCTGAACGACCCAAGCGACCTGTAAACCCTAAATAACCACCCGAAACCCACCTATGTACGCTGAACAGCCCATAAACCCTATACACCCTAAACCATCAAACATAGCCCTAAACCCTAAACCCTAAACCCTAACCTCCAAAAGCTTAGGGTTGCCCACCCCTGAATCTCCAAAGGCCTGAGAAAGACCTAAAGCTTCAGATGTTCCCACTTGCACTGACAGTCCTCATAGGGGGTACGATACTCCCTATTAAGGACTGTTAGTATAAGGGGGAAGATCCCAAGTTATAGGGGTGTAGGGTTTAGGGTTTGAACCCTTCAGCCCGCCTTGAATTATAAACCCTTGAAGCACTGATGCTTACAGTCCTCCTGCAGGAAATGTCATACCGGGCGGGCGGGGGGGGCGGGGGGGCAGATGCTCACTTTTCAAGGTGCTGAGTCCGGCAACTTTTGTTGACAAACTCCCTGAGTGGGGAGGGTCCATGCTATAGATTCAGGGCTCAGTGGGGTTTAGGATTTAGGGTTTAGGGTTTTAAGCTTTGGGACAGGGGGCCTTCCAACGAACGGAGGCTCGAGAAGGGGCCATCATGTCAGTGCACCCCCACACAAGAAGTCCTCCTGAAAACGAGAAGACTGCGCGCTTCCTTCCTACTGCTCCCCTCCCAGAAAAAAAATCAAGACACACACACCCACACAAACACAAAAAAAAATGAAAATACAAAACATAAAACATGAACCAGAAAAACCAAACCCCTAACCGTAAGCCCCCAAAAAAACCCAAGCCCCTGAACTTGATGGCCCAGTAACCTTGTCATAGGGGCACCATGTTTTCGGCTACTTTAAGAAGGGAACCCAGAGCCAACAGAAAGGGCAAAGGGCACCACTGGGCTACCGGGTAAACCCTAAACCCGAAACCCTAAACCCTAAACCCTAAACTCTTAGAAGCCCTAAACTCACCCTAAACCCAAAGTGCTGAGATCCGAGGCCGGGAGTGCTTTCGCAGCTGGTGCAGCAGGAGCCCGAGGGCCTTGTAGGGTTTAGGGTTTAGGGTTTAGGGTTTGGGGTTTGGGGTTTAGGGTGTAGGGTGTAGGGTTTACAAGGTTCGGGTTTAGCATGCGTGTTGAGAGTTGAAGGTCTGAACCTCTTTTTGGGGAGACAAGGGCGGTCGTTCCGACAAGACACTTTAGAGGGGCGGGGCGGCCGGGGGGGGGGGGCGAGGGATGGATTTATGGTGGTTGGAGGGCCTTCGTGGGGAGCAGAGAGGCTTGCCGCCATTCTGTTTAGGCCCCCGAACCCTAAAACCGTAAAACCGTAAAACCGTAAAACCGTAAAACCGTAAAACCGTAAAACCGTAAAACCGTAAAACCGTAAAACCCTAAAACCCTAAAACCCTAAAACCCTAAAACCCTAAAACCCTAAAACCCTAAACCCTACACCCTAAACCCGAAATTTCAAGGGTCCTAGAAGGCTTGAGTCTAGGGATCCTGGGGAGAATAGAGCCGGCTGCAAGGCTCTAAATTCATTGTCTTCTTCCACACTGAGGTGACCCTGCACTTAGGGTTTAGGGTTTCGGGTTTGGGGTTTAGGGTTTAGGGTTTAGGGAGCCCACGCCCAGTTACATACCCTCCCTCCGGGGGACCCCACAGTCCCTAAGCCCCGAACCCTAAATCCACAACCCCAAAACCCCTGAACCCCAAGCCGTAAATCCTCAAAGCCCAAAGCCTGAAATCCCTGTAACCTCAAAGGCCCCAAAATCCCTATAACCCCAAAGGCCTAAGAATCCCAAAACCCCCTTTTACTAGAAATGCTTAACAGGGATCAGAGAACCCGCTCTTATAATCCCGATTCAGGACTGCTAGTATAAGGGGTAACATCCCAACCTATAACCGACGA